CAGGATCTGAGAAGCCCCGCCCACTCTAAACCCCACCCTCTCAGAGAATTTCCAACAAAGGCCCCCAAAAGCCCAGTTCAGCATTCTTGACAGCTACTCCCCTGAAGTTTCCAGCAACCCAAGTCCCCACCCAAAATGTTATAATTGGCCACAAACCCAGCTTGTGTCGGACTTGTTATCAGCCCTCACCAACAGGGTATATAAGCTCTCTGCTTTAGTTTGGGTACATGACTTCTGTCTCTTCTCCTACCTGATCTCTGGTAAAGAAGAACTCATCTGGGAGTTACTTTGCTCAAATAAACCTGTTCTTTTGCTTTTTCAGTTTGGCTTGATCACAGAAAACATATTATCTATCTATTTTGGTTTTCTCCTATATGTACTTATCTGTGGTAAAGTTTAATTTATAGACTAAGAGATTAACCATACTTGACAAAATGGGTAACTACAACATTAGATTTTAATGCTACTGGGAGCATCTCCTCTCCTGTACCTTCAGGCCATTAAACAAAGGAAAGTTTATTTGAATGCAGTGACTGTGATGAAGTGGGGACACCCTGAACAAAGGATGACTCCTGCCCCAGACAGGACACAGAGTGACTGGATGAGGTTTCATCACACTACACAATTTAAACTGTTGAATGATTTAAATCAGGATTTCCTACATTTGAACCACAGTTGACCATGGGTAAATGAAAGTGCAGAAAGCAAAACTACAGGGAAAGAGAACACCAAATAGATGAGAACATCCTTGAGCTACAGATTCATGGAGAGTAATGTGACAATAACTCAAATAATAGTGAACATATTCAACCCTTATTTACATAAAATACAGTTCAGAAAATATTACACTGAATTAAACATAAGAGGGGAAAGTATCTATAGATTTTCAAAGCAATGTTATTTTTTAAAATGTAGTCCTTTTATTTTTATTATTTTATGTGTATGGATGTTTTGCCTGCATGTTATTTCTGTGTACTTCATGTGCTCCTAGTTCCCAAGGAGGCCAGAAGACTTCAAACGGAGTTGTGATTTACCAGGTGGGTGCTGAGAATCAAATCCATGTCCTCTCGTAAAGCAGCCAGCACTCTTAACTGCAGAGCCATCTCTCCAACCCCAGCAATGCTATCTTTAATTGAGAAAATTTTGAAAAATTCAAAAGCCTTTGTGGTGGTTTGAACAAAAATAGGGAGTGGCACTATTTGGAGGTGTGGCTTTGTTGGAGTAGGTATAGCCTTGTTGGAGAAAGTGTGTCACTGTGGAGGTGGGCCTCACATATGTTCAAACCATGCTCAGTGGTTCAGACCACTTAATATAGCCTGCAAGTCAAGACACAGAAATCTCCATCTTTTTCTAGTACCATGTCTGCCTCCACACCACCATGTTGTACCATGATAACAGACTAACTATTGAAAATGTAAGCCACTCAAATTAAATGTTTTATCTTAATAAGAGTTGCTGTGGTCATGGTGTCCCTTTACAGCAATAGGCTGTCTTAGCCTAAGAACCAGGAAATTATAAAGCAATAAATTAGTTATAGCTATAAGGAGAAAAATGTGGACTGATGGGAGATGTCATTCTGTAAATATGTTTCTCTTATTGGTTAATGAATAAAGCACTGTTGGCCAATAGGAAAGCAAGATAGGCGGGACTAGGAGACAAGGAGGAGAAAAGAAGAAGGGAGGAGTTTCAAGATGTAGGATCTACAGAGTAGAACTCTAGCCCCCACTCTCAGGTAAGATAAGACCACAAGGAAATACTTAGATTGATAGAAATGGGTTAATATTTAAGACAGAACTAGCCAATAAGAAACACTAGGAACAGGCTAACAGCTTTATATCTATCTAATACAGCATCTCTGTGTGTTGTTTGGGGCTGGCACGGCTCTGGGACCAGGACGGCAGAAAAACTGATCCTAACAGTGGATCACATCAGCATACAATGTACAAAATTATTTTTACATCATTTTTGTGTTCATTTAGAACAAACCTCTGTGAAAACCAGAAGAACTCTTCAATGGGCCCACAGAACCCACATAAAAACAGGGTGCCCACAAAAATGCTAGGTGAGTTTCATACCTGTTAACTTCAGCCTCACAAGGGAGTCAGGGTCCATGCAGCAAGCTGGCTAGTTAGACTACCTATACTGGTAAGCTCTGAGTTGGACTGAGACTACGTCTCAGCAAAAATGGTGGAAGATCAACTACGGAAGATTCTTGAAATCAACCTCAAACCTCTATTCACTTGCTGTGTGCACATGTATACCCCAGATACAAGTGGACTTGTATGATGTATACATGTACATTATGCACGTGTGAAAAGTGTGAAGAGAGGGATTTAAAGGAATTTAAGTAATGCATGTAACTGCCAAGTGTGGGAGGCAGAGTGTTCCTAGTTGGCTGAACAGCTTATAATTAGGGGGGCATTTACTTCCACCTTTGTTTCATAGTATGGTAGCAACAGAACAGTGTATTAGTTCTTTATTGTTACATGACAAACTATCCCAAACTTATTGGTTTTAAACAAGAAATATGAGCTGTCTCACTCAAAAGCTAACAAAACACACACACACACACACACACACACACACACACACACACACAAAGGAAAATAAATACAAGCAGGCAATAGCTGGAATCCCTGCTAAGACTCCGTTCTGCCTCTACCAGAAATCGTTCCCCATAGATAAGGCCACCATCTTCCAGGCTCATGCTGAGCTGCCTCCTGCCTCTCCTTTGCATTTTGTACTCTGTGCACCATTAAAGTTCAAGGCGGCATGGCTCTTCAAAACTCAGTTTTCTTAAAATTTCACAGGTCTCTTAGGAGTCTCCCTTTTTTTTTTTTTTTTTTTTTTTGATTTCTTAGGGGGTCTCCCCCCATTTTTTTTTTTTTTTTTTTTTTTTTTTTTTTTAACATTAATCTTGAAATTCTGTGGAAAAAAACTGACACGAGGGTCATTTCCTAAGATTCATACAAGTCTTAGTATTTACTAGATGAATTCACCAGTAACACTATCAGCCTGTAAGGCAGTAGGGCTCCAAGGAAAGGATCTGAAAACACATCTGACTGAAAACAAAGGGGTTTACAAGCAGACTCTCAGCTTCTTCTCAGAACTTGTTTTCCTGACAGTACTTGAACTGGAAGCAGCTTCTCCCTACCACAGATGGAACCCAGAAACTTAGGCATGCTGGGAAAGCACTCTACTCCTAAGCTACATTTCCAAACTATGTAAACAGCCACTTGTTACATTTTGTATCATTCACTGACTGATAGTGTTGATGTTTACTGATCCTTCTGTTTGTTTTTGAGCTGATTCTAATAATGTAGTTCTGGTTGTCCTAGTACTCACTGTATAGGCCAGGCTAGACTTGAACGTGCAGCAATCTTTTTGCCTGTAGCTTCTGAGTGCTGGGCATAGGCATTCACCAACATATCAGTCCTTTCTTTACATACTTCCCTCACCTTCTACTGTAAGATGCAAGAATAAACTAGGCAACATCATCAACTCTCTGGGTGGTAATTTGCTTACCTGTATCACCCAGTTCATTACCCATCTTTTCTGGTTTGCACATAACTATGGTGACAGTCCTATAATGATCTTCTTTCCCCAGTTTTTAATTAGATTCCCCTGATTATCCTTTGAGTCCTAATTGGCGACCTCATCAAAGGACATGAGTCTACAGTTTCCATAAAACCGGAACTCAAGTGGAGCTGCAAAACCCACTAATCAGTCATCCACTACTGACCTCAAAGCTACATCTACTTGAAAAACTGTTTGTTCTGAGGCAAGAGAGATGGCTCAGTGGTTAAGAACACTGACTACTCTTCTAGAGGACACATTTCAATTTATAGCACCCATATGGAAGCTCACACTCTCTGCAACTTCAGGCCGTGGGCCTCTTTTGGCTTCTGCAGGCATTGCATGCATATGGTGCACAGACACACATGTTAGCAAAACACCTATATACATAAAATAAAATGAACTCTTTGTTCTGACAGCATCTGCCTTGCTCTGCTTAAGCTTATACAATGGAATACATAGCGTATTCCTATCACAGCTCTGAAGGCTGGAAAGTGTGCAATCAAGGACACAGAAGATTTCACTGAGTGGTAAGGTCTACTTCCTATTCACAGAAGTCAATCTGAGCCTCCTTCTATTTTCACAGTAGAAAGTTAAGCAAGTTCCTGCAGAATTCACTGAAGGATCCTAACTATTCACGCAGGCTCAAGCCTTAAGATTTATTCCATCTCACTGAGATTTGGGTTTCAACACAGAAATTAAGGGGTGCATGCTGATCTATTGTACCACTCAAATTCAGTTACCAATAGTAGTGTCATTCTAATGCAGAACAGTTGTCCCTATTTATAAAATGAAAGCACAGAAGTTAAGATTTATTATCACATGGTTTCTAAATACCCTAAATACCAAGATGGAATATTGGTGTGGTTATTCTGACTAAGGTGCCAGTCTAGGGGTCTTTCTCAAATCATATGGCACTAGAAGACTCCAGTTCCCTGCTACAGAATTCTGGTTATATTTGGATATGACATATCCCCCAAACAGGCTTAGATTCCTGGATGGGGATCCTGTGGGCTCTGACCTAAGCAATGGATTAATTCCTTGAGGGTTTTATAACGTGATGGTATTACCGAGAAGTGTTCGAAAGTCGGAAGTGAAGTCTAGTTGTAAGAAGTAGTCACTGGGGGAATGTACCCTGGAAAGATGCCCGTGACCTTTCCTTTCCTGTTTTTGTTTCCTGGCCACCAGGGACCAGAATCTCTGAAAGTCTGAGGCAAATATTCCAATCATTCCTCCTTTTGTTTTCTCAGGTTTCTGTCACAATAAAAACCCCAACCAAAAAGATCTCTCCAAAGGGGCGCTTACAACATGCTACATGCTAACTCATGTTTAGCCACCCTCAAACAGTATATTTATTTATTCTTGATAAACTGTTAATTGTCAAAAGAAATGATAATCCCGATCTTGGACTGTTATTATCTTACCTCAGAAAGCTTGTGTCTTCTGGAAATCTGTCCAATGCGCTTGCAGCTTTCAGTCACTGGTCAGCACAGTTCTGATAACCAGAAAACACTCAGAATTAATTCTGGAAACCATATAGAAAAGATTTTATAGCAAATCTAACACTGTTTCCCATACTTTTCAGTTATAGAGAATTACAAATTACATTCTCTGGCATAATCAGATACAGACAAGTCAGAACAACAACAAAAAATCCTTACTTAACTACTCCAATAGGTAGCTATATTTAAAAAGTGCCTTATCATCAAGTAATCCAGTGGGAATATGAAGGCCGGCTTGGGGAGAGGAACGCTGGGACCTCCATAATCCCCACCAGCACCTGAACAATACAAGGAGATAAAAATTTTCAGCCAATCCCTTGTCTTCCACAAAAGGGTGTGTAAAACCTTTGATAATGTAAGAATTTTTTTTCTCTTATCAAAGTCTGGTATACCTTAGCTCTATTATTTCACAACAAAGAAAGGAAGGACAGGAGGGATGGAGGGAGGGAGGAACACCTCAAAAACAAAACAGAACAAAAAAACACAAAATGGAAATATCATAAAGAATAGCTGGGATTTTGCTTTTGACAACATCATTAAAAACTGTACATACTAGGATTTCTTTTCTTTTTTTAAATGTTAATATTTGTGTGTGTATGTGTGTGGTACAAGATGCAAGTGTGGGAGGGGTGTGTCTTAGTTGTTGTGGGTTCTAGAGATCAACCTCAGGTTGTCAGGCTTGTATGGTAAGCATACTATATGATGAGCCTACATGTTCTTTTTAACTTCAACATAATTTAATTCAAACCTTTTTACTTAGCCATTGAAGACAATCTAATATTTATCTCTACATAAATAAGTTTGTGTATATATCCCTATGCTGTCTAATTTTATGTCAACTTGACACAAGCTTGAGTAGCTGGAAAGGATGGAACCTCAATTGAGAAAATGGGTCCATAGATCTGGCTGTAGTGCATTTTCTAAATTAGTGAGTGATGGGGGTAAGCCCCATCCACCCTGGTGGTGCCATCTCTGGGCTGGTGGTCCCGGTTCTTTAAGAAAGCATGCTGAGCAAGTCATGGGAAGCAAGTCAGTAAGCAGCACTCATCCATGGCCTCTGTATCATTCCTGCCTCCAGATTCCTTCCCAGCTTAAGTTCTTGTCCCAATTTCCTTCAATGATGAACACTGATGAGAAAGTGCAAGCCAAATCAACCTTTTGTTCCCAAAGCTGTTTTGGTCATGGTGTTTTATTGTGGCAATAGTAACTCTAACTAAGACAATCCTATCATATATTAGGAAAACTTACACCTCTCTCCTTTAATACACCGCTCCTGTATGAAGAATATATAAACCACCAATGGGGAGTCCGCATCTTCATTTTCCAAGCAGCCACTACAGGTTTAAACTGAACCTTAACCCTTGATATTCTTTCTTCTTCAAGGTGGATGTTTATCCTGTAGTAACATAAAATAATAATAATTAATAACAATAATAAAACTGTTTAGTTTTATGGGAGTCACATAGACCTGGGTTTAAATTCCAAGTCTTCTACTTAACACCTGTATCAACTGAATCAAATTACTTGAAAGACTCTCAGAACCTATTTAAAAAAAAAAAAAAGCATAGGTTGCAATGTATAGATCAAATGATAATACAACAAACGAATAAATGCCATCATAACATTAAACTTCAGTATAAATTGTCTTGTGCCTTTCTGACTCTTCTCCTGCCTCTTTCTCCCCCTCCTCCCTTTGTCTCAACAGGTATTTGTTCTGTAATCCAGGTTAGCCACCATTTGCCTGCCACTACTTCACCAGTGCTGGGATTGTAAATATGTGAGAATACATCTGACTCAAGGGACTACTATTATGTCTGATGCTCTTCTATGTAATTTTGACTTAATTCAATCTGTCTAAAAGGCCTCTCCAGAGTAAATTTTCTTAAGCAATAGACTTGAACTTGCTTTGAAAGCTTATTAATTATCAGCAACATGAAACACACCTAATAATGTATATTCTACTCTCCAAAAAGTAACACACCCAAACTCTACTGCCGAATATACCACACACCACTGGAGAGTCCAAATCTATGTTCACTAAAAGTTCCTTTTATTGTGTGGTGATGATCCCAAAGTGTAAAAATTCTTTTAGTTCTTTTCCAGGGGTTTTTTTTTCCTTCCATTTTATTTAATTTTGTGGCTAAATATGTAAAAATACATGATTCTGAGGTCAAGATATAAACAAGTTGTCTTAAGAGAAAGCTCTCTTTTATTGCTGGCATCTTCTCCTGCCTTTAGGGTATTATATATATTGGAGAAAGAGGGTGATTTGGAAAGGCACCATCTACCTACCTAGAAATGGTCCTATTATTTATTATTTGGCTATATTACACTACAGTATATCCAATCACTCTCTTATTAATGAGTACTTGAAATGTTTCTAATTTTTAAATGAAGTATGATGGTTAATATTAAATGTCAATCTGGTAAGACACTGAGTCAACTAGGAGACATGACTCAGGGTAGTTCTGTAAGGGAGTTTCCAGAAAGGACTAGGTGGGCGGAGAATGAGTGCACCTTTGAACAACTGGCCCAAATATAGGGACCAGAGGCGAAGGAAGAGTGGCCGGCCTGCCTTTGTTTCTTGCTAGCGAGTATGGCTGTTGCTGTTGCTAGTGCCACCATATTTCAGAGCTGATACTCCTGCTCCTTTGGCCTTCCAAAACTGAAACCCAGAGATCCTCAAGAATCTTCCAAGCCTTGAGCACCAAATTAAGACAGAGACATACAGTTCCATAGATTGAATACCTTAACTGGGTTCTTAGACTCTCCAGCATATACCATACAGTCATCTTTGGACTATCCACTTGAATGAATCTTTTAAAATGTATGTTCATTTTACTGGTTCTGTATACCAGGGCACCCTGTCTAGAACAAGCAGTTCTCAGTGACCAGGAGTACAGAACTGTGAGTGTACTTTATCATAATGTTTTTAGAAAAGATTACTAAAAGTTTAATGCCTGTGCTAAAGGATACATGCATGTGATTTCATTGGATACTGCAGATAAGTAATGTTAATGTATCCACGTTTACCAGCAATGTACCCATGTGTACATTTTCCCTTCAGTTGAATAGTATAACTTCTAGAATTTGCTGAAAAATGCTTAAGAGTATCTTTAATCGTGTGTGTGTGTGTGTGTGTATAATTTGTAGGCATGTGTACATATAGGCAAGTTCATTTTAGTGTTCTCCTCTATCATTCCATGCTGTAAGTTTTGAGACAGGAATGTTCATTGATCCCATAGTTCACCTACTGGCTAGGCTGGTTGGCTAGTTAGCTCCAAGGAACCTCCTATCTCTACTCTCCCTATGCTGGAGTTGCAGAAACAAGTTTGCTCATCCTGGCTTTTATGCTGTTGTGGGGGTTCAAACTGAGGTTCTAATTCTTGCAGAGAAAGCACATTACCAATGGAGCCATCTCCCCAGCCCTCAATAGTTCTAGTCCCCCAGCACAGCTTTAATTTGAACTTCTTTTTGTGTAACTGTAGGTGGGAATTCTTTTATCCTGTATCATCTGATTTCTCTTCCTGTGAGATCTCTTAAAATCTTTGGTCCATGATTTGCCTACATTTTCAGAAACGGGTTGTAATTTACATTCACACATTTCTCCCATTTTGTCATTTGTCTTTGCTTGTATTTTTCACCATGTAAATAAAATTTTTTTACCAACACATTGGGGTTTATCCTGATTTTCCTCCGGCACTGAGTCATGGTTATAAAAACCTTGGCTTCTGCTTCCATACTTTAGCCAGGTTGTACAACGGCTGTTTTGCTCAGTGTTGCTATTGAAAAGTCTGTTGCTAGCCTCTTTTCTTCCTGGAAACCCAAGGGAAATTTTCTTCATTGTCTTGAAAGTTTCACTAAGCTATAATTTGAAGCTGATCACTTTGGATCAACGTTCCTAGTACACAGGCTTTCCCCTTTAAAGTGTGTGGGGGGGAAGGGGAGGCATTGACATTACAGTATTGGTCATGCTAGGACATCACTATGCCACCGACACCTCTAGTCTGAAGGCCTTTTTATTAAGAACACCAAGTCTTCTTTATTTAAAAGAGTGCTTCAATGGGTAGAAGTTTAATTATCAGCCCTACTACTGTTTTTCTACTGAAAAATTTAAATCTTTCATCTTATAACTTAAGTAACTCCTAGATACTTGTGATGTAACTTTGAAGCAGAACATATACCTAAATCTTTGCTTTATGTGCACACACATCTGTGTAACTTTTATTCCCATTGTCTTTTTTTGGGGGGGGGGTGCTGTCTTCATGACTTGCCATTCTCTCTAACTTAATGTCATCTTTTCTTTCTTGGATACTTTAGAGTTTAGCTTCATTTTACAAGACATATTTTCTTAGTTCAGAAAATTCATCTCCACATCTTTTCTGCTTTTCCACTTTGGTGGTTATGATTTGGATTTGAATGTCTGCAAATGCTTTTCATCCAGGAAGAAGTTCTGCACTGCACTTTCCTTTGCTCTGCTTCTGAGTGTGCTAAGCAGCTTCACTGGCAGCTGAAATGTTTGACTCCCTATTCATTTTCTATTCAAGTAACTTTACATGAATGTTGCCTGCCATCTTCTGTTCAGTTTTAAAGTGTTTTCTTTTTCCTAAACCACATGACAGTACATATGCACAGGAAGGAGGGATGTGAATGGCTTACTGATTTCTTAGTTCAATGGTACTTAATTAACTGCTTCTGTGTTTGTTTTCTGTTGTTTATTTTCATCCTTTTTGGATAGGAGGCAGGCATATTCACCTTCCATTCAATTCCAACAGATCCTTGATTTTTGCTACCTCTTCCTGTTGACAGCAATTTTCACTGCCTGGTGGCTCCACGCTCCTTCCTTTAAGGCTCCCCCCTCCTTCCTTTAAGGCTCCCCCTTCCTTAGAATCAGCACATTTTTGTTTTGTTTTGATAATTTTTTTTAATTTAAATGGGAAACAAACTTGTTTTACATGTCAATCCCAGTTCCCACACCCTCCCCTCCTTCCCTGTTTCTATAAACCACATATGAGTGAGTGCATAACGTGTTTATCTTTTTGTGACTGGGTTACCTCACTCAGGATGGTTTCTTCTAGTTCTGAGAATTTCAAGATTCCATTGGTTTTTTTTGTTTTTTGTTCCCCACCCCCCCACAGAGTTCTTCACTGTGTAAATGTACCACGTTTTCTCCATCCATTCTTCAGATGAGGGTCATTTATGTTGCTTACGGGTTCTGGCTATTAAAAATAATTCTGCTATGAACATAGTTGAATGTTCAACTTTTGGGTATATGCCTAAGAGTGAAATTACTTGATCTTGAGGTAGACTGTTTCCCATTTTCCTGAAGAACTGCCATACTGATTTCCAAAGTGGCTGTATGAGTTTGCACTCACAACAGCAGTGGAGGAGTATTTCCCTTTCTCCACATCCTCTCCAGCATAAACTGTCTTTGGTGTTTTTGATTTTAGCCATTCTGACAGGAGTAAGATGGTATCTCAGGGTTGTTTTGATTTGTATTTCCCTGATGGCTAAGGATGTAGGATGTTGAGCACTTTCTTAGATATCTTTCAGCCATTTTAGATTCCCCCATTGAGAATTATCTATTTAGTTCTGTACCCCACTTTTTAATTGGATTATTTGGAGTTTTCGTAACTAGCTTCTTGAGTTATTTTGGAAATCAGCTTGCTATCAGATGTTGGTTTGGTAAATATCTATTCCCAGCCTTTGGGCTGCCATTTTGTCTTGTTACTGTGTACTTTGCCTTATAGAAGGTTTTCAGTTTCAGGAGGTCCCATTTGTTAATTGTTGATCTCAATGTCTGTGCTACTGGTGTTTTGTACAGAAATCGGTCTGTAGGGCCCTGCAAGGATCCCCAAGGCATCTTGAACAAGCCTGAAGCTGTTGGCTGGAACATCTTGCCCTGGAGTTGTCGTTGGTACTTTTCCTGGTTAGCTAACACACATCTGGTGGGGAGGAACTAAGCCTGAAAACCCTGTTATTTTTCCACTATGCTGTGAATCAGTATATAAGCCCACTCCATCCCCTTCATCCGACATTCTGACACTGCCATTGAATGAATGACCTGCTGTCTTGTCTCTTATTTTAATCTCTAGGCCTTCACTGGCCCAATTCGCAGAACAGATCATAGCATGGGCGCTACAAATGGAGGTCCCACTGAGATCTGGAAAAAAGGATCACCTAAGAGATCGCCCTTGGAGGCCAGCCAGCAAAGTAAGTGAATGAGGGTGTATTGAGAGATGGGTCCAATAACTCTAAGGAAATTCTCAGTGGGCAATTAGTGGCCCTATTGAAAAGAAAGGGCACCAGGATTAAAACTAAGACAGCTAAACAATTCATTGCCATATTAGAGAAACATAGTCCCTGGTTTATGCACTCTGGAGGCTTCAACATTCC